AAAGGTGTGTGTGAACAGTTATACTACAAAAACAGCAGGCAAGCGGATGGGGGAGCACCTTTATTCTGCTTTTTCATTTCAGTACACCCTTGCCTCAAACTGTTTTTACTTAGAATAATGGATCAGATCAAGACTTCGTTATGTATTTGCCTGTATCATATAGTTTAATAATGTTACTTTTTGTTCAACAGTATTTTAAATATTTTGGAATCTTCTATATTTAGTTACACTTGTTAATAGATTTGAAAATTTACTGTAGCTTCAGATCCTGAAATTACAGCATTTGTAGATCTTGGCATTTCCAGCAGCATTTGGAAGTTCTACCCCCTGTGATTCAAGGGAAATGAACCCAGACCTTTATGTTTCCAAGAATGGATACAGCATCTGCTTCCAACTGCATATCTGCATCAGTAGCAAATGTGGCCAAAACCTGCTAGTTATTTATTTAATTATTGAAAATAGATGGACTCTGCATCTTTGCAATAGATCTCATAGTAGCTTGCAATAATTAAAACAATTATAATGTAATAAAATACCAAAAGTAAAGCAAAACAAATGTAAAAAGTTCAAACAGTTATTAAAAGCCATTTAGTCCAGACAAATTTTAGCAAATTATAAACAATTTATGTCTTACCTGAAAGGAAGTTTTTGACAACATGGCCATTAAAGAGAGCCATTAAAATAAGGGGGGAAAATGCATGGCCGTTAAAGGGGGGTAGAGCAGCTGCACAATCAATTAGTTCCCATTACCTTTCAAGATAATTCATTTTATTAAGTGAAATTTCTTCTAATGTTTCATTACAAAAGCAAACAAATGCTCCCTTTTAGGTAGTAGGTAGGTAGTTCCAAGCAGTTTTTTTTAAATGAAGCACTGGAATACATTTGCCTTGATACAAAGGAGTGGGGCACCTGCCTTTTTCAGTCATTGCCACTTGTTTCTGTTCCTTGCCATTGGGCAGGGAGCACTAGAGCATGGGCGTAGTCACTAAAAAGCCCCTCTTACTAAACCTAGTTTAAATCAATTTCTGAGGCTACTAGGAGTTAGTAAAATCAATAGCAAGGATATCTTTGAGAGTAATATTTGGAGGGGGATAACAAATACATGCCTTTTTGTTTTTCAGAAAACGTATTAAGTACAGAAAATAATTTAGCTTCTCTTACAATAATATAGCACAATAATGCATCACAAGGAGCTTTCCTTATTATATTTATATCCTACCAATTTTATTTGATGTTTGATTTCAGAATGAAATTCAGATGTGTAAAGTCAAATTTACATCCTGATGGAGTGTGTATAAAACCTCACTGAATTTTAATTGTACTGTCTAGAGTGTACCCTTTTTCCAGCTAAGTTATTATATAAGAGGTAGTCCTATTGTTTCCGTGTGATAAAATTTTTAAGAAGGTGTGTGTGTGTGTTCATTTTCACTTCTTATCCTCTGCTTCAGCTTCAGCTTTAACTGAAAATTGTCAAATTACTTTGGAATATCTAGTTGGCAAAGTATGTGTGGAATGTCAAGTGTTTAAGCAGAAAGTAGGAACTAAAGAAATACTGTTCCATTATTGTCTTCCATTCTAAAATTAGAACAGGTTGGGTATTTTCCCATTCAGTGATTTATAGCAGATCTGCTTTGAATCACATTGCATGTATATAGAATTAATCTTGTTTGCACACTTTCACACAGATTAAGTAGTATACTCTATAGGGCTTTATGGTATAAAAAATTGGGATTGGAAGTGACATGAGGGACACACACATACACACCTAACTCATTTTATAAACAGTCACCTCTCATTTTGGCGCTGGAGATTAGAGGCTAATTACATTTAGTCAACTCTTGAAACATTTGTATGCTAGAAATGTTAATATTTGCAGTGGTGCAAACTATCAGAGGCTACCCTTTTTAAATTATTAAAATAAATTATTCTTAAAGTTGCTAAAATGTAAAGTGCTCAGAAGTATTACCATATAGTTTTATAAAATTAAACAAATTTTAAGTTATATGTCTGATGATAAAAATTACTGCTATTTTATATTACATTTTAATACTATGTTATATGTTCAGGCAGTTATTTGATTTATTTTGTCTGTTAGAATACTTCTTTTAAAATCTTGTGAATTTCTCTTAATAGTGATAGAAATGCCAGAATTTAGTGATTGTATTATTGTTGTATGATGATTGCTTTATAGTAAGCCTCTTCTGCTGCATCATTTAAATATGAACAAAATGTCAAACTTAGAATGTAGAGTGTTGGGAAGCATTATGGATGAAAGACATTAAATTCACAGCCAGTCACGCACTAAGAGAAAATTGATATAAGATGGATTTTTGGTGGTACAATACCAAAGATATAGGAAAAAAATAGACAAGAATTATAATGGAGAATGTTGGAAATGTAAAAAGGTAGATAGGACTATCTACCATATGTGGTGGACGTGTGCTAAAATTAAAAGATTTTGGAAGTTGATACATGTGGAAATCCAAAAAACCCTTTAAAATTAACTATTCTATGAGTCCTAAGGATATGCTTTTGTATATAAAGGCAGAGACTTTTTCAAAGGACATGTAAGTGTTATTTAAATATAAGACAACTGCACCAAGAACTACAATGGCTTCTTAGTGGAAAACAGCAAAATATCCAACAATGGAAGATTGGCAAAATCAACTAATTACGTAAACAGTTAGACCAATTGAAAAATTTGATGATAAATGTAACTTCTATTATATGCAATTTAATTAATACAGAACAAAAGAAAGCTTGTAAAAATATTGTTGATGATTTATAATTGATTTGAAGTGATTTTTCATTTAAAAAATAAAAGAACTATAATTATATTTTATTGTGAGCTTCAACAAAGTACTAATTGACATAAAGATAGAAATGTTTCACTTTTTGGAAATTTGCAGGTTATGAATGTGTGTAAGACCCCTTGGCATTCTTATTTTTCTTCCACATTTTTCTTCCTTTCTGTACTTCATTTCTTTTAAGAAAACAATGAAAAATTAAAAAGAATTTACAGTTTGCACATACTCTAAATATGCGTAATACCCAGATATTTGTGAAAACTATATTTCAGATTAAGTAATATTTCAGAAGGCTTTGAGGATGTGTTTTTGTCCATATCTAAATTGTGCATTATGCAATTTAGGATTGCATATATATTTCCTATCTCTCCTTTAATCATATAATCAGGAACCAGAATAAGAAGTTAATGCTGATGCCTTTATTCTTTGTCTTAATTCTCAAGTTTATATATGTCTACATTATTATTTCTAGTAATATCAATGTTAAAAATTTGTTGGAGAACCAAGTTGAGAAGTATTTCACCATTGTGAAATTGTCAGAGGCACTTATTCTGGTAGTTTATTCATGTGCCTAGTTTTTCCAGTGTCAATAAAATGAAGATCATAGCTCTTCTTCTTAAACATATATGCTCTGTAATTCTGCCTTTATGTTCTTATATATTGCATGAAGATATTACAGTGAAATCATGATGGTTTATCTGTTGCTTTTTACCAGTGATGGGATGGGAAAGAGATGGGAAAGAAAGACTAGCTCTCTCTTTGAAAAATGTATTTAATACGAGAGGAAAAGTGAAGGATCCTTGCAGTACGATGCTTCAACCCTGTACACATTTACTGAAAACACATTCTCATTGAAATATATAAGATTTATTAATAAGTAAATATGCTTAGGACATTTTGGAATGCATCTCAATAAATTTGAGTGACTAAAATTATTTCTAAATCTGAAAGGATTTTGTCTGACACCTGTCTCTAAAAATCTTTGGCAAATTTATGATGAAACCCTTATTACTAGGAAGGCAATGGGATTCTTTTTACTAACTTCTAAGAGAACAAGATCAACTCCTCAGTTTTGGTATTTTAATTGAATTAGATACTATGTAACCATGACCCAGGACTCTTTTATGTTTTGATCTTTTGATGTACTATTCCCATGAAAAAAATTGAGGGTCCTTATGTTGTTCCTGCTGATACATATTTTGGTAGCCAATGTTGATGTAAATTAATTGATAATTTATTTTCTGACAACGTAAGTGTGGGGGTGTAAAGGAGACTGGAATCCAGTAAAAGGATGGATGGTGATTATGGAAGTAGAAACAAAGTACACAAGGGAAAGGAAACTTGTGAATGAGTCCAATTGCTGCTGCTGTTGCTGCTATTAGGGAGAGCAGCTAACCAACCCACAGTCTAGCGTTTAAGAGGTGAACCTGCTGAAAATTCTGTGCAGAGACCTTCTGTAAGGATTAATGGAGAAAGCTGTTCAACTGTATCCAAGTAAGGATTCGATGAGGATGAGGATGAAGAAATGACCATTAGTTTGGGCAATTAAGAGGTTGGCCGGAGGAAAGTTTTTGGAGAAACAGGTGTGTTTTTGCAGTGGCAGAAGAGTCAGAGGAGAGTGATACGGTTATACAGTGAAGGGATGGGATAACAGTGACGGGAATGGGGACCAGGAAGTAAGTTAGTAAATGAAAGGATTAGTCAATGAAAATAGGATAGCTAAGTAGTATCTTATTACTATGGGAGTGAGATTCAACTAGAAGGAAGAAGGCATGGTCTGGTCTTTAATCCTAGTTTATGTGAGAACATTAATAGAGCCAGAGTTGCCTTACTGTTTTTTAATACTCATGAACAAGTTCCTTTATTTTATGACCTTCATATTCTACCTTTTAACAAGTCCTCGAGTCTTATCATATTCTCAATAATATTTTAAATGTATATTTTCTGTGTATGCTAATATATACATGGACATTCCATTACATTATTGGAATCATGATAACCCCTGAGGGCATGCCATGCTTATGTGGGTATTGTAGCCAGGCTGTGTTCACATGAAGTTTCTGTCTTCTGGGTTTACAGGTGCCACCTTGAAAATAGCACCAATCTCATACAGATTTTAAAAATGTTTTCAGCATTTGTGAAATTTATATTGTTTCATAATTGATGTTGTTTTTTTTTGTTGTTGTTATATAGGAACAGTGCTTTTGGCCAGTGTGCAGGGATTAACAGTAAACATTGATCCTGTTTTATATACTTGGCTCTTGTACCAGCCTCAGAAACGTAGCAGCAGACCTATGCAGCAGGTAGGAAATGTTGACAAGACTTAATTGCTTATTGCTAATAAATTAAAACCTCTATTTTGGTTAGTTGTTCATACTATTCTTCTTTGTTTTATATTCACCTGACAATAACATCTGTATTTGATTATATTTCATATTTAAGATTATATTTTAGCCACCTCTTCTAAGGATAATACCAGTGAATGTGAGCAAATAAAACCAGAAAAATAAAATACCTATCAGAATGTAGATAATAAAATATAACATTTATTATATGAAACTTGCCTGTTACTGGACTCATCTTATCGACTGAAGTTCAAATAAAAACTTTTGCCTGCCCAAAAGATGTCCAGAAGGAAGTGTGACATGGTTGAATGGCTGCCACAAGCAACAGTTCTCTTATCTGCGGTAGTGCTAATATATTGCATGGATGACATATTCTACAATTAGGGGGTACATCTAACTGGCCTTAGAGACTGCAGATGAGTGTTTGGAAGCTGCTAATCCGTGAGAAATGAAAGCTGATTTAGGTATTGCAACTAAACCCCTTCAATCCTGAAGAAATTGGTAGTATATTATTGATGTATTGCTTTCTCTCAGAGAACAGAGCTCCATTTTCTACAGAGCACACTGTTATTATTTTTCTAACATCAGCATAACATACACATTGATGGTTGTGACATCACTGTTTACTATATAGGTCTGGCAACAGTCTTCATATTTAGTTGAAGTTGAAGAGCCAGTGTGGTATAGTCCTCAGAGTGCAGGACTGAGACTCAGACAATCTAGATTCTAGTCCTGGCTCAGCCATGGAGCCAACTGGCCAGTCACGGACTCTCAGCCAAGCCTATCTCACAGGGTTCTTGCAGTAAGATTGAGGGCAGCAGGAGGAGAATTATATAGGCTGTTTTGAATTCATTGTAAGAAAAAAGCAGGATTGTGTGTGTGTGTGTGTGTGTGTGATTGATATAACTGTTTTGTTTCTTCCCCAGTTACAGCAAACAATCTTGCTTCCACTCTAAAAATTGGATCTTCGCCCTGGAGAATTTTGGTTGACTTGTGATTTCTTCTACTTGTTGGCTAGATAGTCATCTAGAACCAAAAATTGGTTGGAATGTTCCACTGCTGATTGATTGGTTTTAGTGTTTTCATTTAGTTACTTCTAAAGCAGGGGTGGTTGGTCTTTGAGGAAAAGGATAATAGCCCTTAGTAGTGGATAGCTAGTGTGGTGTGGTGATTAGGGAGTTGGATTAGAGATGTGGGAGATCCAGTTCCCACTCAGGCCACGAAGCTCACTAAATGATTTTGGGCCAGTCACTCACTCCTAGTATAACCTATCTCACAGGGTCTATGGAAGCTACCTTGGGTTGCTCACAAGAGGAAAAATGTGAGATATAAATACAGTGGTCCTCCTCTTGTAACCACTTTTTGTTCTCTGTTTTACTCCTGTAGGGCACAGATTAAATATACTCAGTTTCTAAACAAATGACTGTTAAGGGAAAAGGGAGTTTTAGATCCCTCTGTAGTTTTTTACATTAATTTCCCCTCTAAAATTAATCAAAAGTTCTGTTTCTATGAAACTTAAAGTTGGTAAGTAGTTCAGGGTGGTGGTGGTTGCGGTTGCAGTTGCTTGCTGTTGCATCGTGACTTTTTATCTAAAGCAAAAACTTTTAATAAAGTCTTCTGAAAGAGGATCCTTTATTTCCATGAATGTTTGCCTACTGTGAAAAATGGTAGTTGAAAACAAACTGATGAAGAGCAAAAGCCCCACCTTTGTATACTAGGAGCAAGGGCAGCGGGGCTCCTGCCAAAAATGCTATGTTAGGACAATCTTTCTGAACTAGACTCTATGCAGGAGCAGCACCCATATATGTGATGCACAGAGACAATGACAAGGAAATGAAATATTCCAATGAGGACTGGACATACTCAGTGTTCACAGAATGCAAATTGATTCTCTGGAGAGGTATGGAATACCAGGTGGGGGATTTGAATATAAACATCCTAGACGATGGCATGTCTGGAACTCTGAACTTAACCATGCCACTGTGCAACATTTATATATAGTTCTGAAAAACTATGTGCAACTGACAGACAGGATTATTAAATTTTTAAGCAAGTAAAACTAAGCACTATGCATGGGCAGGTCAACAGCACCAGAACAGATAGCTCACTGAGTTAGTGGATAAACTGACAGAACAACCAAATATTTGATGATTGCCAAATGGATGCTCATCAAACACTTCTGGTTAAGAAGGAATGGGAACATAAATGTACTGTCCCTAGAAGAGAAATGTTTATTCTCAAGCCAAGTAGCCATTCAAGAGATGGAGTGGGATCCTTTCTAATGCAAAATTAGAGCCATATTTTTGAAAAGCCATCCTTCAAAAGACTTTATTGTATGAGAACCTAGAAACTACAAAGTAAAAAAGGCAGCACTTAAGAAGAACTACACTCAGACTGACTACTACCATCTTAGAAGAGCCATGCATCTCTGAACTTCAGTGTTCTATCTGCAATTTTAACATGTATTCTTTCCTTCCAGTGTATTTAGATTGAATAGCTGAAAATCAAATCAGTAAATAAGTCAATAAGTAACTATACTAGAAATGTTAATTATCTAACAGGAGTAGCATAAAATACATTATATAAATATACTATACTATGAGAAATTGTACTTTGTTCATTAATACATTTCAAGAGTAGTATAAAATATAATGTAACAGTTAATTGGAAAATTGTAGTCATATAAAATATAGTCAAAATTAATACAATTAATAAAAAGGAAAATGTATAAACTATAAAAACACAGCTCGCAAGTAGAAGAATAATGAACCGGCTATTATAGTTTACATATGGCATAACAGGAGGCTGTTAACTTGTAATTTTCATAATATCTTCATGATAAGTATAAAATTGATCCTGCAATCAATGCTGATTAATATAGAAGACTCTGCTGAGTTACAGCTCTGAGAAATTGTCCTTTCCATTGCTGCAAGAAATCAGTATTTTTCATTCTCTTAAATTATTGGGAGATCTAAAAGCTGGAACACAATTATAACACAATTCTGACTAGCTATCTTAATGCAGGTATGCTTACAAATGAAGACCTCTTTAAAACATATTAATACAAATAAAAAACTGTTAGAATGAGCAGGCTTGGATACTAAGATAAGTTAACATAAGGCAGTTCATGAAAGGAAAATCACTCGTCCCTTTCTTGCTCTGTGCCCATTCCTCCTTTTTTAGGAGGGTCCTCAGACAGATTTTCAGAAGTTGTAGGTATATGCAGGAGAAAGAAGTAGGAATGAGAAACTTTCCTTCTGTGAATCTTATTGCCAGATCTTGCTTTTGCTATATAATGAATAATATATCAAACTTCCAAACACACAAACACATAATTGTTTTCAATTTAGGGAATCCTCTTCTTTGGTTCTTGGAACATCAGGAAAAATAGCTTTGTCAACTAAAGCTGTGTTCCGGCTTCTATAGCATATTATATTCTTAAATGGAAAACATGCTTGGGAGATTATAAACTGGATTTTCCATAAATCAAAACTTTAGTTGAACTAAACCTGCTTTTAAAAGTAAAAACAAATAAATACCACATTTCACTAGTGACCAATGAAGAGAGTCAGACTGCATTATGCAGATGTATGCAGGCATTCATAAACTTTGTCATGGACTTAATATTTTTTTTACTCAATGTCCACATTGTTCATTATTAAAAAAAAAATCAGATACCTGCGGAAGCCAAATGCGGATATGGGAAAACATCCTACTTTGCCCCTAAAGCACTAACCACACAGTTACAACAGGAACTACATAGATCCTTACTCAAATATGTAACAGCCGCTACAATTTGGTCTTTATTTTTAGGTGCAGTGGGAAAAACACATATTTAATATAATTTGCTGTATTCAGAAAACATGGAGTGCCTGACTAAAGTTAAAGTAAAGGCTTACATTCAAAATTATCCCAGCAATCTCTTTGACTGTTCCATGTTCCTATCAAAAATATTGGAGGAAAATGTTTATCTTGAAAGCAATGCAGAAAGAGTCTGATCTATTAACATTTGATTTAGAACAGTTTAAATCGTATTCACAAATAAAGCAGTTTCAATTATCCTGGTAAGTAACACAAGTGAAAATGGGATTAACCAAGTTTTCTCATTTTGTTTATGATCTTTCTTCTCTGTAACAATTTCCCAAAAATGTTTCAGGTAGACCCATAGACAGTTATGGACCATGCAGAGTATACAGGAAGGTAACTTTATTTTCCTTAAGAAATATATGCATCTTTAAAATAATATGATTAGACTAGTATGCATGGTAATATCTTATGCCATTGCTTTTGGAATAATTTACTACCAAAGCTCACACATGGAGCATTTCATCAGAACAGTTTCTTAAAAAAGACCTATGAATGAGATACAGAGTTAAACAGATTCTGTCCAGGAATCTTTTCTAACTATATATAATGTTCAAATGCTGGCTTAACAAAACAAGCAAGTAAAACCTGGACCACTGTTTGTTTCTTCCACCATCAATATATCCGAGTCAAAGTTTAATCTAAGTTAAATCTACTAGAAACTGTTGAAGACTATTTAACATATGATGGCAAAGAGATGATAATTAAAGTTTCTGGTTACTAAGTAATGCAAATTTTCTGTAGATTTGCAGTTTATGTTTTGGGGACTTCTTTATCTTCTCAACATGGCAACAAAATCATAGTAACTATAAAAGACAGTTCTGGGAGGGGCTGGGAGGAATTAAGTGGCAGTTGATCCTAGTAGAGCCAAAGGAAGGAGGTACTTCTTCAAAGCAATAATTTCCCATGATTTCCCATGAAAATCCTTTTTACTCCAACTTAGTTGTCTCCCCCGCTTGATGGTGCAGAGATTGGCATTCCAAAAGTGCACAAATTGTGGTGTCAAAATGCCGTCCGCCGATGGCCACTCACTTAGTTTACTGTGCTTGGGAGAGGGACACCATGTTCATGAGTGTCCCCACTGCCAGGCCTTC